GCTCATTTTTTTTTTTTTTCAGGGCATAAAAAACAAAAACAAACTTGTTCTTCAACTCATGGAGCAGCTTGTTTACCCTAGCCCTGCTGAATACAGAGATAAACTTATCCGATTCTCAACACTGACCCATACTAATTACTCTGAGGTACGTGTGGTATTTCATTTATGTTTTATGGTAATGTTGTTGACATTCGTCGGCTGATGATCAGTTTTGTGTGTGTAGTTGGCACTCAAGGCGAGTCAATTACTTGAACAGACAAAACTAAGTGAACTTCGTTCAAACATTGCTAGAAGCCTTTCAGAATTAGAAATGTTTACCGAGGATGGAGAAAATATGGTTACTCCCGAGAGGAAAATTGCCATTAGTGAAAGGATGGAAGATCTTGTGAGCACATCTTTAGCTGTTGAAGACGCTCTCGTGGGATTATTTGACCATAGCGATCACACGCTTCAAAGACGGGTTATTGAGACTTATATTCTCAGATTATACCAGGTTCAAGTTCATTCTTCCACGCCCTTATTATTCAAAATTCTTTTTGGACTGCAATTTATTAGACATAAGCAATCTTGACTTCATTTTATTTCAACTCTTGTCATCAGCCCTATGTCGTTAAAGAAAGCATTAGGATGCAGTGGCACCGTTCTGGTCTTATTGCTTCCTGGGAGTTCCTAGAGGAGAACATGGAAAGAAAAAACATTGGCTTAGACGATGACGAAACATCTGAAAAAGTATTTCTTGAGAAGCGTCGTAAGAAAAAACGGGGGGCTATGGTTATAATCAAATCGCTAGAGTTTCTGCCAAGTATAATAAGTGCAGCATTGCGAGAAACAAACCACAACGACTATGAAACTGCCGGAGATCCTTTATCTGGCAATATGATGCACATTGCTATTGTGGGCATCAACAATCAGATGAGTCTGCTTCAGGACAGGTACTTAATGCAGCTAAAACTAGTTTGGTAATGTAGTGTCTGGCTAATCTGTTATCATCTCTGGTTTGTTTGTCTCAGTAGGGACGAGGACCAAGCTCAGGAGAGTGTAAATAAGCTGGCCAAAATTCTTAAAGAGGAAGAAGTGAGTTCGAGCCTCTGTTCTGCCGGTGTTGGTGTAATCAGCTGTATAATTCAGCGAGATGAAGGACGACCACCCATAAGACATTCTTTTCATTTGTCAATGGATAAACAGTATTATTTAGAAGAGCCGTTGCTGCAACATCTTGAACCTCCTCTATACATATACTTTGAATTGGTATGACCATGATGGTGAAATCTAATTTCTTGTTTTACAGCATTTTGCATTAATTGAAATGATTTGTTTATTGTTTGTCTGATGCAGGATAAGCTAAAAGGGTACTCAAATTTACAGTATACACCCTCAAGAGACCGTCAATGGCATATGTATACTGTTACAGACAAGCCAGTGCCAATCAAAAGGATGTTCCTTAGATCTCTGGTTCGAGAACCTACACTGAACGATGGGTTTATGTCGCACCAAGGGCAGGACTACCAACTTAGCCAAACAGTGCTCTCCATGGCGTTTACTTCGAAATGCGTTCTGAAGTCTTTGATGAATGCCATGGAGGAACTGGAACGGAATGCACATAATGCTGCCATGAAACCAGACCACGCACATATGTTCTTGTGCATACTACCTGAGCAGCAGATAGATGATCTTGTTCCTCACCCCAGGTTGCTATGGGTGTGTCTCTTCATATTATCATTTGTGATGTGTCAGAACTTATAGTAACAAATTTTCTTTATTTTGTCACAGGAGAGTTGAAGTGAATGCTGAGGAGGAAGAATCTACAGTTGAAATGATCTTAGAAGAAGCAACAAGAGAGATACATAGGTCTATCGGAGTGACAATGCACAGGTTGGGTGTTTGCGAGTGGGAAGTGCGACTGTGGTTGGTCTCTGGGGGACCAGCAACTGGCGCTTGGAGGGTCGTGGTTACAAATGTTACAGGCCGTACATGCGCTATCCATGTAATATCAGCTTACAAATGTTTGGCTGTGTAAATCATACAGAGAGTACACTTCTCCACAATTTGACAACCTGTGTTTTGACATTTCAGATATACCGAGAAGTGCAAGCTACTGGGAGAGAGAGTTTAATCTACCATTCAATAACCAAGAAGGGACCTTTGCATGGAACCCCAATCAACGGTCAGTATAAACCACTGAATAATTTGGACAGGAAACGTCTAGTCGCAAGAAGGAGTAACACTACATATTGCTATGACTTCCCCTTGGTTAGTGCCTGAATTCAGAAGATTTTCACATAGATTTACTATTTTGGCTGCTTATGTAGTTATTTTTTTTTTTTTGTATCTTTAGTTATTTGAGACAGCGTTGGAGTTGTTGTGGGCATCACAACACCAGGGAATTATGAAACCATGCAAGAATACTCTCATCAATGTCAAAGAGCTTGTATTCTCCAAACCAGAAGGATCTTCAGATACATCTCTTATTCCGGTTGAACGGCGAGCGGGTCTTAACGACTGTGGAATGGTGGCTTGGAGCTTAGAGATTTCGACTCCTGAATTTCCTATGGGACGGAAACTTCTCATAGTAGCCAATGATGTCACATTCAAAGCTGGTTCTTTTGGTCCTAGAGAGGACGCATTTTTCCTTGCTGTGACTGAACTAGCTTGTTCACAGAAGCTTCCATTGATTTACTTGGCTGCAAATTCTGGCGCCCGACTTGGTGTGGCTGAAGAAGTTAAAGCCTGCTTCAAAGTTGGGTGGTCGGATGAAGTTTCCCCTGAGAATGGTTTTCAGTATATATACCTGAGCTCTGAAGACTATGCAAGGATTGGATCATCTGTCATTGCGCACAAAGTGAAGCTCCCTAGTGGAGAAACAAGGTGGGTGATAGATACAGTTGTTGGTAAAGAAGATGGTATTGGAGTTGAAAATTTGACAGGCAGTGGGGCAATAGCGGGTGCTTACTCAAGGGCGTATAACGAAACTTTTACGCTAACCTTTGTTAGTGGAAGATCGGTTGGAATCGGTGCTTACCTTGCCCGTCTGGGCATGCGGTGCATACAGAGAGTAGACCAGCCAATCATCCTGACCGGATTTTCTACGCTTAATAAATTGCTTGGGCGTGAAGTCTATAGCTCTCACATGCAACTAGGGGGCTCTAAAATCATGGGGACAAATGGTGTTGTTCATCTTACAGTCTCAGATGATCTTGAAGGTGTAGAAGCAATTCTCAACTGGCTGAGCTACATTCCTGCTTACATGGGTGGCCCTCTTCCTGTTCTTGCTCCTTTAGATCCACCGGAGAGAACTGTAGAGTATGTCCCAGAAAACTCTTGTGATCCACGAGCTGCTATTGCTGGGATCAATGACATTACTGGTAAATGGCTTGGTGGTATCTTTGATAAAAATAGCTTTGTTGAGACTCTTGAAGGCTGGGCAAGGACAGTAGTGACTGGTAGAGCCAAGCTGGGGGGTATACCTGTAGGAGTGGTTGCGGTCGAGACACAAACTGTAATGCAGATCATCCCGGCAGATCCAGGGCAGTTAGACTCTCATGAGAGAGTGGTTCCACAAGCAGGGCAAGTCTGGTTTCCTGACTCAGCAGCCAAGACCGCTCAAGCACTCATGGATTTCAACCGGGAACAGCTTCCATTGTTTATCCTAGCAAACTGGAGAGGATTTTCTGGTGGGCAGAAAGATCTTTTCGAAGGAATACTTCAGGCAGGTTCAACTATAGTAGAAAATCTGAGAACATATGGGCAGCCAGTGTTTGTGTACATCCCAATGATGGGAGAACTGCGAGGTGGAGCGTGGGTTGTTGTTGATAGCCAGATAAATTCGGATTTTGTTGAAATGTATGCTGATGAAACCGCTCGTGGAAATGTGCTTGAGCCTCAAGGAATGATAGAGATAAAATTTAGAACAAAGGAGCTATTAGAGTGCATGGGAAGGTTGGACCAGAAACTAATTATTCTGAAAGCAAATCTCCAAGATGCCAAGCAAAACGAGGCTTATGCAAACATCAAGCTTCTGCAGAAACAGATTAAAACCCGAGAGAAGCAGCTTTTACCAGTTTATATCCAAATCGCCACAAAATTTGCAGAACTTCATGACACTTCCATGAGAATGGCGGCAAAAGGAGTGATCAAAAGTGTTGTGGAGTGGAGCGGCTCGCGAAGCTTCTTCTATAAGAAGCTCTATCGTAGAATTGCAGAGAGTTCTCTTGTGAAGACCATAAGAAAAGCTTCTGGAGACATGTTATCATATAAATCTGCTATGGGTTTGATTCAGGATTGGTTCTGCAATTCCGAGATTGCAAAGGGAAAAGAAGAAGCTTGGACAGACGACCAACTGTTCTTTAAATGGAAGGACAATGTTAGTAACTACGAGCATAAGTTGTGTGAGTTGAGAGCGCAGAAACTGCTGAATCAACTTGCAGAGATTGGGAATTCGTTGGATTTGCAGGCTCTACCTCAGGGACTTGCTAATCTTCTAAATAAGGTATGAAATGAAACACTAGAAAAACTGAGAAACCTGACTTTTGTTTTTTTCATATGGCACCCTGAGTGAATATTCGTGACGCAGGTGGAGCTTTCAAGAAGAGAAGAACTGGTGGATGCGATTCGAAAGGTGCTGGGTTGATATCAAACAGGTTTAGCTTCCAATAAAGATGTTGTTTGGATTTGCTCTGATATCAAATCTCCTTCCTCATTATATTTGTTAGCCCGCACAATAATCCATTCAACACTCCACTGATGCCAAATTGGGACAGAGTTGATGCTTTGTATTTAAAGTTTCTGTTTGTACTCCCTAAGATAACTTGCAGAAAACATATATCTTCTCTTGGGGGAGAATTGAAGATTCTGGTAGATTAATACACTTGAAAGTTTGGGACAAGGTAGAAGGAGGCTTCATGATATAAATGTTTCGACTAAACTATATAGTAACTAAAGAAATAGCAACATAGAGTGGCATTTATCAAGTTCCATATATATATATATATATCAATCACTCTTTAGATTTGTTTGCCTTTGGTCTTACACAACTTGGCGGCCTTAGTCTTGAAAGGCAAAAACGTCACTCCCCCCATGAATGGTTGCAGAACCTCAGGGACGTCCACACCATCCTCTCGCTGGTAGTTCTCAAGAATACAGCAAATGGTCCTCTCTGTCGCGCAAAGAGTCGAATTCAGCATATGCACATACTGCTTTGTCTCCTCATTGCTCTGCATTATAAAAAGAAAGAAAAAAGAATTACACAAGATCCTAGATACTTGCTAGTGAAGCACAAAGAAGTGAGCATACCTTTTTATAACCGTATCTGATGTTAAGCCTTCGTGACTGATACTCTGTACAGTTAGAACAGGACACAAGCTCCCTATAAGTCCCTGACGAAGGAAACCAGCCTTCCAAGTCATACTTTTTTGCAGCTGCATCGTTCAAAGCTCCAGAGACCACGGACACGACTCGATATGGAATTTTAAGCTGCAGAGGAATATATCATTGGCTAATTAGAAACACATATTAGAGATAACTTGGAGCGTAAGATTTAATATCTTGCTCCTCAAGTTAAGTTAACTAACTCTACTAAAAACATTGTAATTCTTACATACCGATTGGTAGAACTCTTCAGAGTTCTTCAACATCTCGTCGAGCATTTCCCACGAATCATCAGGACCCGTGATGCAAAACTGTTCAACCTTCTCAAACTGGTGAACACGGAAAATGCCAAGCGTATCTCTTCCATGTGAACTAGCTTCTTTTCTAAAGCAGGTCGAGTAACCAGCATATCTTATAGGAAGCTCGGTTCGATGAATCCATTCATCTTGATGGCAAGCACAAAGAGGTTGCTCAGAAGTTGCAATAAGGTATTTGTCATCATCTCCATCACCAGTCACCTAAACAAAACATTTTATCAAATGTGGTTTATATATTCACACTATAATATTAGATATATATATATATATATATTACCTTGTAGAGTGCTTCATCAAACTGTGACAATTGTGCACACTTGGCCATGACCTCCTTCATCATGAGACAATTAGGTTGTATAGGTGTGAAACCTTTCTTTGTTAAGGTAGTTAAAGAATAGTTGATAAGAGCTTGGTTAAGGAGCACACCAAATCCTTTTAGTACAAATCCTCTTCCTCCAGAAATTTTAGCACCTGATCATGAGGCCATAAAATTTAGCATTTCAATGTGAAAACCAAAAAGCACAAAACCTGAAACTTCTACCTCTTTTGGCATCTACAATATCGAGAAGCTCAACGAGATCCACATGGTGTTTTAGCTCCTCGCCAGGCGAAGCAAACCTCCTTTCACCCGAGACGTTAATCAAGAGATTATGTTCCTTCACATTTAGCAAAAACCAACACACTTATTCTAAGTCTCTCTCCATCTCAGACCACCTTGTGAGAAAGACTAGGAACTAACCTCATCGTTACTAATTGGAACCGAGTCATGTACGAGGTTTCCTAGTGTCTTCAATTTAGCTTCCAAAGAAGCATAAGCTTCACGAACTATAGCCTCACACTTGGTAGATTCTTGTTTGATAATCTCTACTTGCTGAATCTGCTCAGTCGCATCCACATCAGACTATTACAAAAGAACACACGAAACAGAACTCAACTGTTAGTGTTCATGTACTAAACTAATATTGACAGCATCAAAACAGTATAATATGAAGATAAACTAACAATTTTGAGCACATGAAACAGAACTCAACTGTTAAGTGTTCAGACTATTACAAAAGAACACATGAAACAGAACTCAACTGTTAAGTGTTCATGTACTAAACTAATATGACAGTACCAAAACAGTACAAATATGAAGATAAACTAACAATTTTGAGCTTGGCCACTGCCTTGTTAAGCTTGTTGAACTCTGTTCGGACACGATCATATTCATATTTCCCTGAAAACATAGAAATTTTATATAGCGTCAAGCTCTCATCAACCTATAAGGAGAGAAACGAGGATCGATGCGGGTTAAAGGAAGAGGATACATACGCTTACGCCATACTTGGTCGAGCAAGATTATCTCATCAACAACTTCTACACTAGCAAATCTCCGGAGCTGAGACTCTCGGATGATCTCTGGATTGTTTCGGTATAGATTGGTATCAAGCATTATATAACGTGGTGTTATCTGTGAAGCAAAGATGAAACAATCACAGATTATAAGAATTTGAAAGAGACCTAGAGAGAGAGATGCAAGAAGAAGCGTACTTAACAGGGAACCGTATGTGGAGGCAACTGAAACTAACCTAACTAGGGTTTTTTTGTGATCACGTGAGATTGAAGTTTAGAATGTTAAATATTATATAGGAAATCACAAAATACTTTAGGCAAAGAGATAACGAAATGTATTGTATACAAAATTTTTAAAAGAAAAATAGGGAAAATAAAGATGAAAACCCGACAATTTCCAAATTTCTGATTCACCAAACCTTACTAGAATCTAACCCATTGTAAACTTGTATGTGAACATTTTATTTCAAATATATTTAAAATAACATTTTTTGTTATTTTCTTATTCATAATCGTTTTTGATTTACCATTCATATACATATGTATATAGGCCTGGGCATTCGGGTTTTCGAGTCGGGTTCGGGTTATATGGGCTTAGAAAAATAGAACCCATTAGGTAATTTTACACTTTTAGTTCGGTTTCGGTTTAGGTATTTTCGGGTTCGGATTGGTTTGAGTTTCAAATTTCAGAACCCGATTACTACCCAAATTACCGGGTACCCAAAAAAACCTTTTAAAATTAAAAAAATTTAGCTAAATTTTGACATATGTAACAAATAAATTTGAGATATTTTGATTAATTTGGGTATTTTGGATAACTAAAAGCTATTAATGTTAATTATTGATAATATTTTAGATAATTGTATATTGGTAAGGTTTTCTGGGTACCCGTTTGGATAACGGATATTATCCTAACCATAACCCGAATCCACGGGTTTACCAATATAAAACCCAATAAGGTTATTTAGACATATCCGTACCCTACCCGAACCGGTTTTTTCATTCCGGGTTGGGTATTCGGGTTCGGTTTTTTTTTTTAATTTGCCCAGCCCTATATGTGTATCGTAGGACTATTTTTTACAGAATTTATATAATGTTTTTATAAAGGGTAATATTAGGGAATAGCCAAATTTTAGACAAAAATTAAGTAATTAGCCATGGAACATTTTTTAATTGGAGAATAGCCATGGGCTCACGTTTTAGAATGAGTGAAATGAAAAATTCATCCTCTTGGTATTTTGGAGTTTGACAGAAAGATAAAAAAAAAACTCGGCGATGAAAACAAAAATGAGATATATACGAGCATTACAAGAAAGAAAAAGATAATGCCTAATCCTCAACTGCTTTAGGGAAGACCCAAAGTTCTCAATAAAGAGTGTCAAATGAATGATTGAAAAGTAAATAACACAAACCACACTAATAAGCTAAGGGAAAAATGTTATTAAAATCCCGAACTTACATATTTTGGCCCTTTTAATCCTCGACTTTCACTGTGGCCATTAAAATCATAGACTTCTCGTTAACGTTATTTTTAAATCACTATCGCCTGTTGATTGAGCCAGATTGAGCATGTCGTCAAATCAAATTCTCTAACAGAGGAGTTAACAGCTGTTTAGGATCGTTAATTGATCTCTGTTAAGTCGAAAAATGAGAATCACAAGGACAAACGGCGTCGTGCTGCCTTAAGCGAAATGCCTAAGTTCCCAAATCAACGTCGTTTGTTCTTGTGATTCTCATTTCTCGACTTAACAGAGATCGATTAACGATCCTAAACGGCAGTTGACTCCTCTATTAGAGAATTTGATTTGACGACATGCTCAATTTGGCTCAATCAACAGAAGATAGTGATTTAAAAATAACGTTAACGAGAAGTCAATGATATTAATGGCCACAATGAAAGTAGAGGATTAAAATGGCCAAAATGTGTAAGTTCGGGATTTTAATAACATTTTACCCATTCCTAATCCTCAACTACCTTATCAAGAAATGGAGCCACTTTGGATTCCCAGTTGAAGATCAGTTTTATGTTGTGAGTTGTCAAAATTGTTATGAACAGTTTGATTCTTCTTCTCTCCCTTATTTCTTGATTTAGTTTGTCGGATCACATTTTGCCTTTTCAGAGTATCCGTGACCAGAAATCTAGCATTGCTCGCATAGCTAAAGCTCGCTTTAACGAGCCTAACTGGTTGAGAAGTGCAAAAATAATACAATTATTTAAATAATTTATGAAAATCGATAACAGTGAAAATATTGCACATCGATTAGTTTAAATGATATTATAATTTAAATCACTTTTTACAACTGACACTAATCTTAACATCAATTATTCACAATTGATATAAATTATTAACATCAATTCTTATAAGCGTAGCAAATACTAGGATCATTTATAATAATTGATATGAAACTAGCATCGTGTTTTTTCAACTGATACATAATAACATCGATTATAATAATCAATGTAAAAAAATATTCAACCGATGCAAATTATTTGCATCACCATTGTTTAAATCATTTACATAAGTGATGTATAATTTATTTGCATCAATTATAAGTAATGCAAATATTAAAAATAAATGACACAAAACACACTTTTTTGTAGTGTATGAACTTGCTTTATAATTGCTAAAAAGTATCCACACCATGTCCATCGAATTAAGTCCATAATGTTCATAGTAACTGTACATTATGTTCGAGAAATAAAATTTTCCATGATAATTTATGAATCCATTTAAACTTGTCCAGATGGAGATATTTTGTAATTTGTTCAAAAATGTGTAAGTCGTTGTCTTTAGAGTAAGGAAAGTTTGAAAAAAGATGATAGTAATAAATTATATGTCTAAACATTGGTGACTATCCAAACGGTGTAGTCTATTTGGTCATGCGAATCACGTAATCGTTACATATCAATACACAAGTTTATAAGCATCTAGTAGTTATCCATATAGAATATGTGTACTAGACATGATATCATAGATAACTATTGTGAAAGATGTTCAAGCTAAAAAAAGCCTAAGTCATAAGTCTTAAATCCTAAAACCCTAACCCTAAATACTAAATTGTAAACATAAACCATGAACTATAAACCATCCAACTAATTGTCAACATTTAATTATTTTTCTAAATCTCTTATATCAAAAGTTACGTTCATGTGATCGTTATTAAAAGGGGGAGAAAAAGAGAGAAAAAGAGAGAATCTCTTGTAGTAAAATATGAAAGGTGGAGAGAAAGTTAAAGAAAGAATAACATAAAAAACATAGGAGCAAAAAGAAACGAGATAAAAGAGAGATATTAGAAATTGAGAGATATATTTTTCTTTTTACTTTTTATTTTAATGTTAAAAGAAAAGTAAAAGAATGAGAGTAGTTATAACTTAGAAGAGGATTTCTTTGTCATTTCTTATTTCGAATGTAGAAAGTATAGAAATAGCATAAAGTGGACGTATCTCTATATTAGTAAAAGAGAAGTACAAAAATTTCATGGGTCGGGTTATTTCAGAAAATTTTAAAAATATTACCCGATTAGATTAAATGGATACTTAGAAAACGAATTACATTTATGATATAGATATGACCCGTTAATAAATTGACATTCCATAAAAGTGTTGGCCATTAATAGGTTTCGAGATTGCCTCTTCGATGCCATATTTACTATCCCACTAATTTAGGATACTTTGTTATTGCTAACAAATCTATTTACGGAAAACAATATTAAATGCTTATATTAAACGACTTTTCAAAATAATTGACTAACCTCTCAATCTTTACAGAATATCCTAATATGTAAACAATACCGTAAATATTCCAGAGCTCTACAATATTAATCTTTACTTCTGCAATTTTTTATAAGACAAAATATTTGATATAACAAACGAAAAAAACATATATATAAAACATACTTTAAAAATATTTGGTATAACAAATATAAAAAATGCACATAAAACGACATAGATAATGGTATTAAAAATGATAATCAGTTGGGTATAGTTAAATGTTTCTTAAAATCATAAAATAAAATTTTAATATATATATACTATAAAACGAATTTAATAATAAGAATTAGTGTGATGTTTATAATTATATTTGATCCTTATTATTATTATTTTTTTATCTTTCCTGATATGTAAAATGAAAAATTTTAATCACAATAAAAATATATGAAAGGGGTTCCAAGATTAATCCATATCTTTATCAGTTTGAATTACTTATAAAAAATGGAAAACTATTTTAACATTAGCATAATTAATGCAAAATTAGTTATGGAGCTCATATACACTAATTTTATATTAATTTAGGGGGGGGGGGTGAAAGACAAAATTTAGGGAGCTCATGTCATCTAATTTTTTAATATAAAAAATATTACACAAATTATCATTACTATTATTTGGGAAGCAATAATAATAACTAATTAATCAATTTTATTATTTTAAAAATACTACACTATTTTTAAGTACTTTTGAAAATATAAAATAAAATATAAATATTTAGCTGAATATTAAGCATAAAATATTCCTTATATTATATTAACTAAATCACTATATTTACTAAGAGTATTAGGTTCGGAACCGCGCTACAGCGCAGAGGAAATAGTTACATATATATAACTTTTAACGGATTATAATATGTTACATTTTAATTTTATTGGAAAAAAATAGTTTCAATATTTTAAATTCTAAAATATTCATATATTTAAACGTTTTAGTTATAATATTTTGAAACTTTTTGAAATATTAAATATGCTCATGTAACAATGATTTTAATACTGGTCATACTTATAATGATTTTAAACCATTGTCCAAAATATTTAACTGAGTGTAGTTGAGTATTATATGTCCGTTTTGAAAAAATAAAATTACAACATATGCAAAAAAAGTTAAATTTTTATTAAATATTTATATTATATAGTATAATATCATAAATTAAAAATAAGATCAAATAAAAGTGAAAGAAGAATAAGAATTTTTTAAATAGATTATAATAAATTAGTTAGAGAAATATTAGGAAATCCTATAATTAGTTATGGAAATAATACAATCCTAAAATTAGAAATGGGAAGTATCCGATGTATGTATTTGAACCCAATTTAATATCCAATTTTGAAGTATCCAATTGTTAAAATCGGGTTAATTTTTTAATTTTGACCCAACTCGTATTCCATTTTGTACTTCTCTTTTACTAATTTACTAATGTAGGGATACTCCATAAGTTTTTCTTATTAGGAAGTTAGTTAAGTAAATCAAAATTATGATTGTTATCATACGAACATTTGAGTTTTATGACGTAACTTTTATTTCAAATTTAAAAACTAATTACACTCCTATATTATAGGGCTTTAAAATTTCTCATTTTTCAATTATACTCATTTTATGAGTAATTCAATTATATTTATTTAATTAAACTTCTATTTTTCAAATAATTACTCATTTTTCATGATTCTTTATAAAAATACACGGATCTTTACGGGTTGGTTCGTCACAATATACATTGTGAGTTTGTATTTTTTTAATATACGTTATTTTATTTGTTTTATTTAAATATTGTATTTCATTTCTGAATACACATTTTTCCCAAATAATTGAAATCAAATATATATTTCAAAATTATAATTGTTGATACTAAAATAAACAAAATAATAACACATACAATAAACAATGAATCGAAAACATTCCCCCGCGCTGTAGCGCGGGTCCGAATCTAGTTGGTGAATATTTTATGAGAACGTGGGTGTAGATGCTATTTACTCATGATTAAATATGTAATTATCTTTTAATATATAGGAGGATGCTAAATTGCTAATAGCATTTCAATGTAAATTTTTACTTTTAAATTGCTGAGTTTCGTGTACTTCTTAATTATAATAGTAGGATAAATTATGGGTTTGATTGATCAAAACTAAATAATGGGTTCAGTGTCATAAATATATTTAAATATGGAATACTGAATCTATAATATCAGTCAATTCCTCTTCCCAAAACCCTAAAATCCACCTTCCGTTTCAGATCACACGAAACCGACACTTCCAAATCCATTTCCTCTGCTCGACGTTTCTTCTTTGACTTCGTAAGCTTCTTCTTCCTCATGTCTATCTCACTTTCTTATATAAAGTTTCAATTTTTATTCGTTTTTTCAGCTTTTGAATCACTTACTAGGATCTTGAATCTGAACTTCGAATCTTAGGTTTGATGATGAATTGAGCTAATTGAGTTTGGTTACTCTGTTTCTACAGATTCATGGTTGCTTAGCTCATGATTTTGGATGTTTTAAGAACTATTAGAGCTCGAAATCTTCAAAGTTTTGGTTTTTATTCGGTGGGTTCAAGTAGAATGCGAGATATCAAAGTCAAAGCTGATCCTAGGGAGGTGTTAACATCATCTGATGAAGAGGAAGAAGCAGTTCAGGTTATTGAATCTGTTTCCATTAGAGAAAACGAGGTTTCGTCGTCGTCTTTGAGTGTTAAATCGACGCCTGAGATTGAGAAAAAGTATGTTCATCGGGTTTATGATGCGATTGCTCCGCATTTTAGCTCTACTAGGTTTGCTAAGTGGCCTAAAGTTGCTGCCTTTCTTGAATCATTGCCTTCTGGATCTGTGATTCTTGATGCTGGATGCGGGAATGGGAAGTATTTGGGGTTAAACCCGAGTTGTTTCTTCATTGGTTGTGATATAAGTCATCCGTTGATTAAAATCTGTTCGGATAAAGGGCAAGAGGTTTTGGTTGCAGATGCTGTTAATCTTCCTTATAGAGAGGAGTTTGGTGATGCAGCGATATCGATAGCGGTTTTGCATCATTTAAGTACAGAGAATAGAAGGAAGAAAGCTATTGAAGAATTGGTTCGGGTGGTAAAGCCTGGGGGATTCGTTCTCATTACGGTTTGGGCTGCGGAACAGGAAGACACATCGTTGCTTACCAAATGGACACCCTTGTCTGCAAAGTATGTTGAGGAATGGGTCGGCCCTGGTAGTCCAATGAATAGCCCTCGTGTGAGGAACAACCCGTTCTTCAGTCTTGAGAGTATTCCAGAGACTGAGGTCAGTACGAAGGAGCAAAAGGCTGAGAACAGCCCGTTCATCGGTCTTGAGAGCATTCCAGAGAGCGAGGAGAGTACAAAAGAGCACAAAGGTGAGAGCATTATCCCAGAAACCAAATCCAGCATAGTAGAGCAAAAGGATGAAAAATCTGTTCAAGATTCATTGGAGGCTCTGAAGAAGAGTCAACAAGAGTACTTTGTTCCATGGCATTTACCATACCACCGTGCTGAAGTGAGTGGTGCATCTGCATCTGCACTTGCAAGCGGGCTTGCAAAGAAAGACGATAGAAAAGGAGCTGTTGTGTACAACAGATACTACCACGTCTTCAGTGAAGGCGAACTTGAAAGGTTTTTGAGTCTTATCGATAAATTTTCTTTCCGGTTTTTCTATAGATTCTCTCGAAGATCGCTAGTCTTGTTTGTTAAATACTGTTAACATGTGGTAATAATCATCTTTCACAGGTTAGCATCTGGAGTAGGCAATGCAATGATAGTTGATAGATTTTACGATAAGTCCAATTGGTGTATTGTTCTTCAGAAAGCAGCTTTAAACCAAGATTGATCATCATCTAGTGGAACTAGACTCTCTGGTTTCATATACTTTCCAAACCTTTCTGAAATTGAAACTCCATTGCATATGTAATCGAAAAATTATCATTGCATTTTTCATGGTTGTAGTTCAGATTCTGTCACAGCTCATTTTCCCTGCAATTTGTTGGCTTTAAGGGGTTTTGTATTATGTGTAACACAAATGAAAAGAAAGAAAATTCTCTACATGATAAACAAAATGTTTTTGTACAATACAGATTTTATCAGTGATTCATTCAGTAATTTGAATAAGTGATATACCCAATTGAAAAGCAAAGTTCTTAAGAGACAAGTTGTAATCCTGTCCTGATGGTGAAGCACTTCTGTCTTGCCATGGTTTATGACTTTATGTCATGTCTTCCCAAACCTATGAATTGAAATGTCCTTCTTGAGAGTGACTTCCAAGCTAGGAAGACACTACACTTATAGCCGAGACTATAATGCTATAGTACTAACTAGTCTGAGATGCTTCGAACACGAAGAAGATGCCTAATGCGGTAATGCCTAAAGCCTTTCCTTCAACTTTCAGGTTCCTCGATGGCTAAGTCCATTAGAAAAAAACACTATGTATGTCTTTATGTTGAGTTTTCTTTTATTGTCAACAAAAATTAGCAAACCAATAAAATGAGTAAAGTAGATAATTTCACATCTCCCAAAATCGCTAAAAACAGTAAACACCATAGTACTTAAGAGTTTCAAGAAATTAAATAGAACCGAACACAAGTTTACATGAATTAGAAGCCATGTCCGCAATAGCCAACTCGTCAAGCAACTCATAACTCTTTTCCAACTTTTCTACCTCTTTAGGATCAATGCGCTTTACGAAGAAAGCTGCTTCCTTCAACCGTCTCGCGTTTTCTAGGATGTATGTGGCCACTTCTTCCTCATCTTCTTGTTGCCAGTTGAATCCTTTCCACAATAACTTCTCTAGATGGAACAACAAACATTCCGGTACACATTCTGGTGGATTCCATGCCTCTCCCTTGTCTAAATCTCTTTCGCAATCATCCATACCCGTGAGCTTGAGAATTCGTAGCTTAGGAGCACTATCAAGCATCCACAAAAGTCGTTTCCACCACTCTGTTCCATTATGTCTCAACCAATCTGATTCATATGTTGTTAGCTCTAAATCGACTAGCTGATCAAAGATTTTACCCGTAGGAAATGTAATATCAAAGGATGATGAAAATTCTAAGCTAAGACGTTTGACACAAGTTAGAGATTCTAAAATGTTCTCATTTGTTATATTATAAACCTCAACGACTACTGCTTCCACCAGCTCTGGCGCATTCTCAATAAGACAACACCCAAGCATGCAAAACCTTTCTAGTTTCAAGTATTTTAAACAAGGTGCATTTATCACATAACCTCCCAGATCTGCTGCTGGGTAATTATCATATATGGTTAGTCTCTGTAATGATGGCACCGCGATTGTGAAAGGCCCCTCAAGGCAATAGTTTCCTCCATCTACAACCAAGTCTTCAAGACTAGGACAGCCACCTAAAAGGTTGCAAACAGATTCTTCGTCTTCGAAGTTTACCTCGTTGAGGAATAGCTTTCTTAAGGATTTCAAGAAAACCCGAGAGGGAAAGTGAAAAAGAAAACAAGTATGGATCTCTAAGATCTCAAGTGTATCATTGAAGTTAAACAAAACACTCGGAAACTTAACCATCTTAACCTCATCATATAAACTAAACTTCTTATCCTCTTCATATAAACTAACCAATACCAATTCACGTACACGACGTGCAAATGCAGTTTCAATGCACATTCCAATATTCAATATATCAGCTTCATATTTAAAGTTCAAATGCAAACTCTCTAGAACCGGAGCCTTATGTAAAGTCAAAAACTTGTAAATATTCTCTGGGTTGTAATACTTGGATTGATCAGACTTAGGCTCAAACTTGAGATTTGGCACCATCTTCCACAGAGATCTCCAGTTTTTAGACAAAACACTCGTGGATGTGACAGTTTCTGTTGGAAGTAAAGACAAGATCTTCAGAAGCAAATCTTCAGACAGCTCACTGATTCTGTCCTCGTTAACCATCATAGCAACTCGATTACTCAAAACTTAAAACAAAATCTTCAGATATTGCCTCACCAACAGTTCCAAACACAAAGGCAGCCTAACACAAATCTGATTAAGCTTCAAAACGATTCAGTTGTGTTGTAATAAACCAAATTTGAAACCCTAACAGAGTTTTCAATATCCTCCAAGAGTATGGAGGAAATAAAACAAAAAAAAGTTTCATTATTGGGCCGTGTTAACGGGCCGAGTGTCGTATTCTTGAAAGCCCCATAATTTTGAAAGAGTATTACAATAGTGCCATTAGTTCTTCGTCTTCCTCCTCAGAATCATCTCTCTTTCTCCGGCTAAAACCCTTTCTTCAACCTATCTATGTGAAAAGCTCTGTTCTTTCGGAGAAAAATGGTATCTGTATTATTCCAATCTTCTTGTTCTTGTTCACTCTCTAGCTTTCGCTCTGTACAATTCGGAGCTCGTCTCGTTTCTCCTCTGTATTTCGCCGGAAGTCATGTACACGTCACTTCCAGTGGTGGTCTTCGAATCGAACAAGGTAAGGTAAAGGGCTTTCACAAAAAAAAAATCAAATCTTTAGAAATTTCGAAACTTTGTGTCTTACATAGTCTATGCAGTTCTTGATTTAGAGGGTACTAAGACTAAATCTTGCTTTGATTGCTTAAAATTAATCTCAAAGGTTCTGTCTTTATGCTCTCAATGAATTATAACTTATATTCTTCAATTGTTAAGCTTGCTTAGAGACCAAACTATATCAGGTAGCTTTAGTTTCCATTAGACTTGACTGGTCTATGCTGTTCTTGATTTTAGAGTTGATTAGGGCTAAATCTTGCTTTGGTTGCTTAAAATTGATCTCAAAGGTTCTACCTTTCTTCTCTTTAATGGATTATAACTTAGATGTTGCGCATCTTCAATTGCTAAGCTTGCTTAGAGAGCAAACTATGTCTTATTGTAGTATTTATGAGGTAGCTTTAGTTTCCATTAGATTTACTGGTCTTTGCTGTTCTTGATTTTAGAGGGGATTTAAGATTAAATCTTGCTTTACTTGCTTAGAATTAATCTCAAAGGTTCTGTCTTTATGCTCTTAATGAATTAGAACTTATATACTTTAATTGCTAAGCTTGCTTAGAGAGCATACTATATCGTATTGTAGTACCAGGTATTTAGTTTCCATTAGATTTTTACTGGTCTGTAATGGTTAGAAGTTTTGTGAATCTCAGGATGTTTACTGAACTTCAAAGGTGAAAGATCTCAAAGATTTGTTGTCTCAGCTGTGGTGGATGATAAAAGTATTGTAGCTAAAGAGGAGAAGAAAGAAAGTGGTTCTGAAAAGGTTGTAGATAATCAGAAAATGATCAAAGTTTGTGATAAGCTCATTGAGGTTTTCATGGTTGATAAGCCTGCACCATCTGATTGGAGAAGATTGTTAGCTTTTAGCAAAGAATGGGATAGTATCCGGCCGCATTTTTATAAACGGTGTCAAGAACGTGCGGATTCTGAGGATAACCCTGAGATGAAGCATAAGGTTCATCGGCTTGCAAGAAAGCTCAAGGAGGTATTTATGTTGCCCTCTCTTTATGTATTTGGGAAGTCGGGTTATCTATGCTATTTGATTGTGACATTGGTTCTTAATCAGGTTGATGAAGATGTTCAAAGGCATAATGAGCTTCTGAATGTTATCAAGAGGACACCACCAGCTGAAATTGGTGAACTTGTTGCAAGACGACGAAAGGATTTCACAAACGAGTTTTTTGATCATTTGCATACTGTTGCAGAATCCTACTATGACAATCCGGATGAGCAAAATGGTAAATTTATGCCTCTTGTGAATTAATTGAAACCCTTTGCCTAATTCCAATGGGACAAAACAATACTAATATTTGTTCAATGATGAAAATTTTTCTGGCAAGCTCTTGCATCACTGGGGAAGTTGTCTATAGCGGCTGTACAAGCCTATGACACTTCAACAGAAAGCATTGATGCACTAAACGCTGCGGAACTGAAGCTCCAGGACATAATCAACTCCCCTTCTCTTGATGCTGCGTGCAGAAAGATTGATAGTTTGGCTGAGAAGAATCAGCTTGATTCCGCGTTGGTTCTTATGATCACAAAAGCTTGGTCTGCTGCTAAGGAATCAAACATGATGAAAGATGAGGTACTAAACTCACTCCTTAAAGCATAGATTCCTTACATTTATTCCCATGATTGGCAGAGAATTGGAATTAGTTACCATATGATAGTTTTCTCGGATGAACATTGTATAACATTGATATCATACAACCTAAGAATCTATTTAGTCGTAGAACACGCCACATATTTTTGTTTCATACATTTGTTGTTGGTTCTTGACAGGTAAAAGACATACTGTATCATTTGTACGTAACAGCAAGAGGGAATCTGCAGAGGCTAATGCCCAAAGAGGTGAGAATACTTAAGTATCTACTATCGATAGAAGATCCTCAGGAACAATTGAGCGCTCTACAAGACGCTTTTACACCTGGGGAGGAGCTTGAAGGGACTGATGTAGACTACTTATACACGTAAGGACGAGAAGAAAACTAGATCGGGTTAGCTTATATACACATTTAGATAGTTATTGAACCTCAGAGTGTGTAAAAATGGAAATTATGTAGGACGCCGGAGCATTTGCAGAGTTTGATAAAGACGGTATTGGAGGCGTATCATTTCAGCAGAGAAGGGAGTCTAGTGAAGGAAGCCAAAGACCTTATGCATCCTGAGCTCATTGCCAAAATGGAACAACTCAAGAAGGTTCTTGAAAAGAAGTATTTGTGATCAAAGATTTTACAAATGATAATCTAGCTTTTGTTACTATGTATGTGTTGTTGTATATGGTGTATGACATTAATCAGGTTTCACACATATTTTTGATACCACCATAAGACTAGCCTGTAGAGACATGCTGCAAAACTACATAGAAACATCAAACATGGCGTTCTCGCATGTCTATAGAAGCCTTAGCAACTCACACTTGTCTTCTCCCCTTTCACGCGATAACAATTCGTATCTCAAGAAAGATTAGGTAAGAATTTATAACAATCTCAAGGGCCATGTAAGAACGTGGAGCAAAGTTTGCAGCTCGTCACAAGTATTGTGAGAGATGATTCTGAAAAAACAGACTCCTCATGTTGAAGTAGTTTTTATTTACTTTCAGCTTTCTTTTCTTATTCATTCATATAAACTAGATTTTAACCTGCAGTACACCGCGGGACGATATTCCTAAAATGTATTTTTTTATTAATTTTGTTTGGTATATAAAAGTGTACAACTATATATGATTGTTAATTCTATGATTTAACCCGTATAATATTATATGATAATTTATTTTTTATATAATCGTAATTTGGTCAAATTAATTAAATAAGTATAATATTTAAAATAATGAAATGATATTGACATAATATTCGTTTACATAGTATAATTTCATATTAAAATATTTTGTGAGTTATACTATAGTAGACCACCCGTAAAAAAACTATAATCATAATTATGTAAATTATAACTCGTTCCATAACATGACCCGTGCTACAAAATTTTCAATAATACTTTAAGTACATCCATTTTTGTTCGTTTGAGTAATATAAATCTGTTTCTAAAAATTCAAATTGCAACATATGCAAAAAAAATATATTTTTTGCTATACATATGTTTATGTAATAATATAAATTTAAAAACAAATAAGATCATATAAAAATGTTGGAGAAATATTTGATTTATTAGGGAGAGATTTTAGGAAATTTATTAAATGTAATAAATATTGATTTCTAGTTTTGCAATTTTATTATGATTAATTATAAAATTTATCTTGAACTTTTTCTATTTAATCAAATGGCAAGGGGTTGATTATGAAAATATTACAAAATAAAAGGGTAGAACACTAAAGGTACTTCAAAAATGTTAATATAGATTATACATATGTTTATGTAATATATAAATTTTAAAACAAATAAGATCATATAAAAATGTTGGAGAAATAGTTGATTTATTAGGGAGATATTTTAGGAAATTGATTAAATGTAATAAATAGTTTTGCAATTTTATTATGATTTAATTATAAAATTTATCTTAAACTTTTTCTATTTACAGTAAAACCTCTATAAATTAATACTCTATAAATTAATATCTCTATAAATTAATAAAATATCTTAGTCCCAACATTATTAATTTATAGAGGTTTTACTGTAATCAAATGGTAAGGGGTTAATTATGATAATATCACAAAATAAAAGGGTAGAACACTAAAGGTACTTCAAAAATGTTAGGGGGTGTTATTGGATTCTAACTTATAAAGAATTTAGATGACTCTGATGAAATCATAGATTGTATGATTTTAAAGGATTGTTTGAGAGTTTTATATAATCTTGTTGATTAGTTTTTTTAAAGTCTTGTAAAGTCTCTCAAACAATCTATGTATTTATAAGATACTTTTCATGACTTTGATTTGTAAAGAAGAGTGTTTAAAATCATAAACCAATAACATAAAATTTAAATTCATTAACAATCAGAGATTCTTTTGTTTTAATTGAATAACACAGAACTTTTAATGACTTTGTAAAACTCTGTATCCAATACACCCATATTTATGAAGATTTTGAATGACTCTTTACAAATCAATAACTAATAACACCAAACTTTAAAAGAGTTTTGTAAAATCTTGATTGAATAACAACAGATTCTACCTAACATCTAAAGTCATTAAAACTCTATATAACTCACAAACCAATAACACCCCCTTAATATAGATGTTTTTTTTAATATGAATACAATTTTACATTCACACAAAAAAACTTACAAAAAGATAATTTAAAGTTTTGTTAAAGATAAAAACAAAAGAGATAATTTATTTTGTAGTTTCTAAAAAAATAAGTAGACAAAATATTATATATATATGTGTATAAGAATAATTAGTTCACAATCAAGTCTCTCCAAATTTTGTTTGAATGAAGTGAGGATTAATCCATTTTGTAGAATTTTTGTTTTGTTTTGAAAAGATGTAGTTTTTAAGTTATCTATGCAGTTTTTATTAGTTTTTGATGATGAATAATAAATTTCGTACAAAATAGAAAATATAATAAAAGAGAACAGATAAAAAAAGCCTAAAACATTTATAGTATTTTTGTTTCTACAGTATATATTAAGGTGCAAATTGATACAATTTGTATTTAAATTTAAAACGAAGAATTGGTACAAAAGCGCCCGTGGCCTAATGGATAAGGCGTTTGACTTCTAATCAAACGATTGTGGGTTCGAGTCCCACCGGGCGTGTAATATATTTTTGTTAACATGACGCATGTTAATCATACCATCACGAACGAACCATATCTTGAATATAATCTATGACTAGAGGATGGCCCGTGCTTTCGCACGGATGATGTTTTTTAAACTAAAGATATAAATGAATTTGTATTAATATTTGGTATTCAATAGTATAGGATAAACATAATAGTCTTGTATATTTTAATTTTAAGTCTATAGAGTTAAATCGCGTGTTGATTTGTATATTTTAACTGTATAGAAAGTAAATAATATATACAATAGTAATTAGATCTGGTTTTAATATAAGTACGTATATATTATATTTTCCCTAAAACCGTTAAATTTATCAATCACGGACATTACCTCAACGGTGTATAAGAAAATGCAATCTTTTAATATAATTTACAAAAATTGTATATCGGTTGAAAGATAACATAAGTGATATATAACAATTTCATAAATTTGGATAATCTATTTATGAATACCTTATGAATAAAATTTAACTATTGGCAAAAGTATATG